GTGGACAGTGAGAGAGAGAGACAGAGAGAAAGGTCTTCCTTTTGCCATTGGTTCACCCTCCAATGGCTGCCGTGGCCGGAGTGCTGCGGCTGGCGCACTGCGCTGATCCGATGGCAGGAGCCAGGTGCTTCTCCTGGTCTCCCATGGGGTGCAGGGCCCAAGCACTTGGGCCATCCCCCACTGCACTCCCTGGCCACAGCAGAGAGCTGGCCTGGAAGAGGGGCAACCGGGACAGAATCCGGTGCCCTGACGGGGACTAGAACCCGGTGTGCCAGAGCCGCAAGGCAGAGGATTAGCCTAGTGAGCCATGGCGCCAGCCCCAAGTACATGTATTCTTAACATTTGTAAAGGACATTGGACCTTCTGGTAAGTGTTTTCCTAAGTTGTTTTCTAATAATTAAATCTACTTGCTAAGTTTTCATTTGATATTACTCTTAAAATGTTTGTGCATGGAAAAGCTGCCCTACCTTTTTGACCCTATTGCCATATATAATTATTCCTTGTAAGATTACTTAATTACTTGGATTAAAGACTAGCATAAAAAATTAAAGCTGCCTCCAGGCAACACCACACAGAGTAACGTGTCTGTTTTGCCTCTGGTGGTGCAAGGTTTTTAAGCATGGCTGGTAACTGGTAAGATTTTGTAGTGATAATCTGGCAGTATCCTTGCATAGCTATTTGGGTAAGGATATAAGTCAGTTCTGTTAAAGGTCACCATGTTCAGAAATCAGAGTAACTCAGCCCAGCTAAATATTCATAAAAAACATGCCTATGACTATAGACTTCTAGTCTAGGCAATGAAAATTAGAGGTGGGACTGAGCACTCCCTTGACTTGCATTCTCTGGTCTGATTTAACAAGAACCAGGAGAAAAAGAGAGCTGGGCATCAGAAGCAATGTAAAGATGGGTGGCAGGCCTATTATAGGCAGCTCTGTACAGTGATCTGCCCTCAGGGAGACCCAACAGGCCAGTCCACTGCAGTGGCGTTCAATGTGGTAAGTCCTGGGCTTCAGCAGAAGTCAGCTTGTGAAGAGCCCTGGCAGCTCTGCCAGCCAAGAGTTGGATCACTGGAAATGGACCTGTCCTGGAGTCGAAGGACTTCAGGTCAGAGCCACGGATCTTATTGGCTCTAAGCTGAAAAGCCCTTCACTCAGCCCAGCCTCCAAAGTGACCACCACTGTTGAAAGAATGGCCAAGTAGGGTCAGTAACATTGCAGACAGAGCTGTAAATTTCCTATTGGAGATGCCACCTGCCTTTACCTGGCCAGCTCTCCTCCCAGGCCAGGTAAGTAATAAAAGTCAAAAGGGTGCCTTCCCCAAGGAGGTTCACACCTCCCTTAAAATGTACCCTATGTAAAAAGATAAATAGGTCTAGGTCCCTTAACTTACAAGGCCTAAAGCCCACCAGGTTATTATCAAGCCCCTTCTATCAGGTTCTCTTTGCATCTCAATCAGAAAACTTATTTGTAACTTGGACAACACCTTTCTTGACTCCTCTAATAGCAACTCTGGACCCTGCCTGGCCCACTCCTGGGCCTCATTCCTTTGTAATTTTGTTGCTTATTAAAATCAGTGGTACACAGACATTCTGTACATATCCTGTGGGGCAGCTGTAGTATCTTTTAAACAGTATTACCGTAAATAGTGTACTTCAAAATGTAAATTACCTTGTTTAAAACTGTGACTTTAACATCTGTATAATTAGTGCATATGGCATCTACTCTCCATTATCAGGATAATTCATTATTAGGTAAATTTGGCTAGTAGGAAATACAGTTCTGTGAGCAGTGTTTCCTATTAAATATCAACTACTATCTCAGTTACACATAACAGCAGCAGCTCCGCCTTGTTCAGAAAAAGTAAATGCACAAAGTTAAAAAGTTTAAAAGATATACTGCAAATAGCTAGTCATTATTCTGAGTACTAAAGTAGAGCAGAAATTAAACGCTGAGGATTTCTGTAAATTCTTTGTTCTCTGTAGTAGATCGCCGTTTATACTCCCAGCATGTGTGTACTGGTAATCCTCTCCCACACTAATGAGTGATTTTTCTCCCAGTTTTGGCTGGAATATGCTTTATTCTCACCCTGTCTCTATAGTACAGTGTCTGGTTAAGTGTTTACAGCTGGTGATAGAGCGAACCAAGGCCTTCGGCAACCAGGAGGTCAACCAAATGCTACTACAGGAATGTGCTCGGCTCCCCACCCAGGATACAGTGGCTTAAGACATCGCCCCATGGCAGTGCAGAGTGCCTCGTTGCCCCACATCAACAGGGGTGGCTCTGAAGACGGATCGTCATCCCTCTGTACCTCTTGGACTTTTGGGACTGATGTGATGGGCTGTGCGCCACTCTGGGAAAAAATGCTGCTTTTACGCTGATCACTCGGGCCTAATAAAAGATAACATGGCTGGCTAAGGTCAGGGAGGGGCTGGCAAGATAAAAAAAAGAACAGGAGGCCTCTCAGGGGTGGTTTGAGTCTTGGTTCAATTCTTCTCCGTGGCAAGCCACCCTACTATCAGGACTCATAGGGCCCTTGTTCTCCTGATTTTAATTTTAACCTTCAGACCTTGCATTGTTAACAAACTTGTACAGTTTATGAAACAGAGATTGGACACCATTCAATTAATGGTCCAACAGTCCCAATATAAACCCTTAAATGTTTGTAAAACCTATAAAATGTCAGTCCAAAACCCATGATTGGGTTTTTCAAACATGTACAAAAACAAGGGGGGAATGAAGAACCAAAGTGACTCCATTTTAAAACAAAAAAAAAAGCAGCCTCCATTTCCCATAGCAGACCCGTGTCCTTGTAAAAGCAGGCATTCAGGCATTCCGGAGATATCAAAGCTTACCAGGGACAGCTAGCTCGGTAGACCAAGGACAGCACAGTAGAGATTGCTAAACAAGGTAACTCCCTGAGCCCAAAGCTTCCATGCTGTATGAACTCTTTTTTTCCTGCTGATGTAGCCCCTTTTTCCTTTAAAAACTCTCCCAAACAAAGACTGGGGCCTCACTCCTTCCTCCGCTGTGCAGTTTGGTTGGATGGGGTCCCTGTCGTGGCTTGTACTTCTGAATAAACCTTGCTGTTGCAGTTCGGTGTGATCGACTCTCTGGGGGTCTCTGCGGGGGTCTAACGATCTGGGCACAACAGTGGCTCCAGGACTCCAGCAGCCCACTGGTGTGGGGTGGGGTGGAGGAGGTGGAGTTTCCCAAGGAAGTAACGGGGCTGGCTTTTTTGGAGGGGGGTCTTCAGAGTTGTGGTCTGGTTCTGGTTGCTAGCTTGAATTTTCCTCTTCCAAGTTCAAATCCAAGAGCTGTCTTTCCTCCCATCAGGGCCAGTTAGGGCAGACATAGGAGGACACATATTATGCTTATTTATTATGGAATGAGGCCATTTCCTCTAAAGTCTCAGTATCCTTTTTTTTCATATTTGACAATTCTGTTAGGTAGGGGCTACAGTGAAATCAGTTCTTAGAAGATTTCTGTAGGAGACGCGGGCAATTCAGTGTGGGTGTGATGATTAGAACACATATGAATAGCAGTTTACATTGCCATAGGAAAACTTCCCCCATTCTACCTTGGCTCGGTACAGCTACTAACATAGAAGTAACAATGGCACTTTCTAGTGGTTTTACCCTGTGTAGCCATAGAGAAGATGTGTAAGATGTTAAAGTGCACAAAGCATACTGCTGTCACCAGAACCCAGCTGACTTCCTTCAGAGCCCTTTTCAGAATCTATTTTGTTATGCACTGTCTGACACAGCTTCTACTATGGAAACTCCAAGAGAGGTCTCTGTCTTATTCCCAGTACCTAGCACATGGCTTGGCATATGGTAATGATTTTCATAGTTTTTAAATTTGAAATGATTATTTGAGAAGTAGAGAGACAGAGGGAGGTAGAGAGCGCTCTTATGTACTGGATTATTTCCCAAATACCTGCAATGGCTGAGATGGGGCCAGTCAAACCAGAAATCAAGAACTCAATCCAGCTTTGCCATATGGGTGGCAAGAACCCAACTACCCAAGCCGTTGCTGCTCTCAAAGTCTGCATTAGGAGGAAGCTGGAGTTAGAAGCCAGACCTGTGTGTTGAACCCCAGGTACTCTGAATGTGGGATATAAATGTCTTTATTGCCAAATATCCTGGTAATGGTGTTAAAAGTGGAAGTGAAGGGGCTGGTGCTGTGGCTTAGCAGGTAAAGCCGGTGCCTGCAGTGCTGGGATCCCATATGGTGCTGGCTCGAGTCCCGGCTGCTCCTCTTCTGATCCAGCTGTCTGCAATGGACTGGGAAAGCAGTAGAAGATGGTCCAAATCTGTGGACCCCTTCATCATGTGGGAGACCTGGAGGAAGCTCCTGACTCCTGGCTTCAGTTTGGCCCAGCTCTGGCTGTTGTGGCCATCTGGGGAGTAAACCAGTGGATGGAAGACCTCTCTCTGCCTCTGCCTCTCTGTAACTCTGCCTTCCAAATAAAGAAATAAATCTTTAAAAAATGGAAGTGAGTGCAAGATTTGGTTCATTTGAGGATCTGTTAACAAGTTTCTAATCAGTGCTGAATTCCTTTCTCTCATATTTCAAAGGAAGGTTTTTTTTTTTTTTAAAAAAAAAGATTTATTTATTTATTTGAAAGGCAGAGTTTACAGAGGAGCAGAGGCAGAGGGATCTTCTGTCTGCTGGTTCACTCCCCAAATGGATGCAATGGCCAGAGTTGTGCTGATCTGAGCCAGAAGCCAGAGCTGCTTCTGGGTCCCCCACGGGTGCAGGGGCCCAAGCACTTGGGGCATCCTCCACTGCTTTCCCAGGCTAGAGCAGAGAGCTGGATTGGAAGTGGAGCAGCTGGGACTCGAACCGGTGTCCATATGGGATGCTGGTGCTGCAGGTGGCGGCTTTACCTGCTATGGCCACAGCACCGGCCCAGGAACTTCTTAAAGTTTGCAGTTTCATTGACTGGCTTTTATTTAAATTGGATTAAAGTGTTTTATATGGAAAAAATTTGAATATACTTTTCAGAATGCAACTGACAGGTACTAGCCTATGTTTATGGGAGGAAAAAAATCAATTACCTGAGACAAGGGGCCTAGATATCTTGGAAACATGTCTTGAGAACAACCCAACATTTGCAGATCAAAGGCCCTGCCCAATATCATTGTAAGGAAGGTCCCAAGTCTGGTGCCAGGAACCTTTCTGCCCAGTAATGTAACACCCAGGGAGGATCCTGCACTTGGGTGTTCTGCCTAGTAATCTTCCAGAGATGGGTAGGGAATATGGTTGAAAAAATTTGCCCATACCCATACAAACCATAGTCTAAATGCGGATGGGGGCATATACACTGACTTTTGGCTGAGCTCCCTTCTTGATGAGTCAGGTGCACTTCTTCATCAACCTCACTAGCAGTGCTTGCTGCCAGTCTCTTGTCTCTCCTCTGAATTCTTGTCGAATGGGGAGGTAAGGACTCCATTATAAATGTACCTGAACAAATGCTGTGAAGAGTTGGCCTGTCTTCCTGGGAGAAGTGAGGGATGATCCCAGAAGCTTAAAAGGCCTATTTGCCTGTGAGAAACTCCCCTTTAGACTACCTTGGTGATGTCACAGCTCTTTCCATATTTCAAGGGGAGAAGCAAATTTTGGAAGTGCTGAGCTTCAACTTCCAGCCTTACTGGCAATGCCGCTTTCTCTACCTTTGTCAAAACAACACACACACACACACACACACACACAACCAACAAAACACAACTTTGGGCTGAGTTAACAAATCAAACTCACATAAGACCACAGTTAGTTTGTTCTGAATTCCTGGGATCCTGTATGTGGGGAGTTCTGAAAGGCTTGTGTTCAAGCAGCCCAGCATCTGCAACCCCTGGAAATGTCGTAGGGTGGCTTGTCCATGTTCTTTTCTTCAGGGCAAGAAAAGAGTTCAAGGATGAGACTTAGGTAAAGCTTAGCAGAGAAACAAGATTTAGTTACATGCAAAGTGATGCATGCTCGAGAGAGCTACATTCTGTAAGGTTCAGGTCCATCCTTTTCTATGGCCTGGAGGCCAAAGGGATGGGCTTGGAGCAGAGCTTCTAAGAGCAGAAAGAGCATTTTCCTAGAAATTTTCTCACCTTACACTTTGTTTTTTTTTTTTTCACAGTTGTTAAAAAATGTATGAAGTGCCAACTATTTTGGCTCAAAGAATTTTGTGATCTTAGATGTAGAAGCTATGGAAATAGGAAGTATGGAAACAAAAATGTCCTATCGGTGTTGAATAGTAAGGTATTAGGTGGGTGGGTGTGTCAAAGTGAGTTTAAATCTGGGATAGAGACCACTGAACTAACACACTTCATTGTATAACGTTGGGGGCAGTTGTGTACTCCCTTTGAACCAAAACTGCACTAGATTGTGAACAAAGCTTTGGAGAGAGCATTTCAGCATTTTATTTGCAGATACTGGCCTACCTACCAATCAAAACACAACTCCCTTCTAGGCAACCTGGAGACACACAGCTTTGGACCCAAGAAGGTTTGAGTATATACAAGGGTAGGGAGACATATTAGGGAGAGGTAAACAACCTAGACCTTTAGTTTGGTTCATAAAGGGTATGCAGTGATGGGAATTCCACCTGAGGGCAAGGGAAATTAGACCACCACTAGAAGGGCTGCCCTAGATCAAGGCCACCTTGGATAACTCAGCTAGAATTTCTCTGTCTAGGCCTTCGGGATTGGGAATCAGGAGAGCAATTATGTTCAGAGACTTTCTGGAAAGTATCAAGTTTCTTTTGAACACATAAAACATTCATACCACTGTGGAACTAGCAGGGATCACCATCAGTGACACTCAGTAGTGTGGCCTCTTTCAAGGCTCACACAAAAGCAGTTGATTAGACAAATCATATTTGCCCAATGTCTGTGTCAGCAATGAAGCCTGAAATGGAATTCTTGATTCAGAGAACAGAATCTTACAATTTCCCTCCTCTGCAGTGATTTAACACATACTCTCTGCTTACAATATAGCCATAGATAGAAGCTGTTTCCATTCATCATCTCTTTGGCAATATCCTTCATAAGGTGGATTGAATTGCTAAACCTGTTTTATGGAAGAGATGACAGCTTAGAGATAATAGAAATCTTCAACTCTTTCTCATCTATAACATGTAAAATTGTGTAAAAAAATCTGAGACAAAATTAGGACTCAAATCCCAGTGTCCAGTGCTTTTTAGCACAGTGTATACTAGGCAATGATCAAGAAAGGAGAGCTGGATCAAACACTTTATCATTCTACATTATAAACTGGGGAGATAATGTTTGCTGGCTTTTTTTCTCAGAAATGTCATAACAGATTTGAGATCATTGTTGTGAAAACTTTAGTAAATAAGAGCATGCTATGGAACATCTTCGATGTCCCTCTTTAAATCCTAGTAACTTTTCAAAATGAGTTTATTTGCTCATGGAAACAAGCACTTTAAAGATAGTTGAGAAAGCCCTACCTAAAACCACAATCAACAGTTTCTGGAATCTATCTGACAATGCTTTCTGAATAGTTTGTTTCTGGGATGTCTTCTCCTTCGTAAGGAAAAATAGTGGTCTTAGATTCAACCAGAACAAATGGATGGAGAATGTCTAGATGAGTGCTGATAATATGTCTAAAAATGGAAGTATGTCCACTCTTCTTGGATGCATATCTTGGTGATGACGGGCACACACAGCACACGGTATCCTGGGAGGGCCCATCACCACTGTTGCCCTCTATTCCAGAAGTTCCTGGTGTGCTGGCAGTGAGGTCTGGGACGGGAACTGGGCACTCATGGATCTCAAATTGGTAAGTGGAAGCCGCACATCTACAAACTCTGCCCTTCTGTGAGTCAAAGGCCGAGACACCATACAGAGAATGGATTGGTGGTGAGTACAGATGATCTGTCCCTTCATCAGGTATCATCCATGGGAGCCTACTGTATTTCACTTGCTGACATCCCTACCGCTGACTTAAGACTCCTGAGACTAGGACCATAGATTCTAGAAAAAAATAATAGAAGATCCTTTTCAGGTACATAGGTTGGCCCCTTTTCCCATTCAAACCCTTCCATTAACAGACAAAGAACCAAATGTTTATATGAGAGTGTGTTGAAACCTTCAGATGATTTTGCTGAGACAACTTATCTGTGTTTGAAAGACTATTTTGGGCTGGTGCCACAGCTCACTAGGCTAATCCTCTGCCTGCAGCACTGGCACATCGGGTTCTAGTCCCGGTAGGGGCACCGGATTCTGTCCCGGTAGCTCCTCTTCCAGTCCAGCTCTCTGCTGTGTCTCGGGAGTGCAGTGGAGGATGGCCCAAGTGCTTGGGCCCTGCACCACATGGGAGACCAGGAGGAAGCACCTGGCTCCTGGCTTCGGATCGGCACAGCACGCCGGCTGTAGCGGCCATTTGTGGGGTGAACCAATGGAAAAGGAAGACCTTTTTCTCTGTCTCTCTCTCACTAACTCTGCCTGTCCAAAAAAAAAAGACTATTTTGCATAAAACAAGTTCTTAACCCAAAACTGGGAAGATGTTATTTCTTCCCTAAGCTTCCTGGCAGGAGATCAGCTGAAGGATTTTAAATATCAGCCTTCTGTGAGGTATTGCCCAATGTAAAAATCTGCCCAGGAATTTAATAGGGATGGCCTGAAATGTATCTGAAAAGATTAATTTTTAAAATATATATGTATTAATTTATTTGAAAGAACAACAGAGGGAGAGAGGGAGAGGAGGGGGAGAGGGAGAGGAGGGGGAGAGGGAGAGCAGAGAAGAGGAGAAAAAGAGAAGAGAAGGGAAAGGAAGGGAAGGGAAGGGGAGGGGAGGAGAGGGAAGGAGAGTAGAGAAAGAACAAAAGAAATATCTTCAACCACGGCTGGTGCTGTGGCGTAGTGGGTAAAACCACTGCCTGCATGTCAGCATCCCATATGGGCACCAGTTCAAGTCCCAGGTGCTCCTCTTCCCATCCAGCTCTCTGCTCTGGCCTGGGAAAGCAGTAGAAGATGGCCCAAGTCCTTGGACCCCTGCACCTGCATGGGAGACCTGGAAGAAGCTCCTGGCTCCTGGCTCCTGGCTCCTGGCTTTGGATGAGTGCAGCTCCAGTCATTGTGGCCATTTGAGGAGTGAACCAGCAAATGGAAGACAGACTTTCTCTCTCTCTCTCTCCCACCCCTGTGTAACTCTGCCTTCCAAGTAAATAAATAAATCTTTTAAAAAAAGAAAAAAAAGAAATATTTCAACCTTCCGGTTTACTACCCTAATGTCCATAACAGCCAGAGGTAGGTCAGGCAGAAGCCAGGAGCCAGGAGCTGCCACACGGGTGGCAGGGGCCCAAGCACTTGGGCTATCTTCTTCCTTCTCAGGCATGTTAGTAAGATGTTGGATCATAAGCAGAGCAGCCAGCACTGGAACTGGCATTCTGATATAGGAGTGACAGCTTAATCTGCTGCACCACAATACCAGCCTTAAAGATGAATTTCAGAAATAGGAAAAAAGTCTTTTCCTTATTCCCTCACCTCTCTCTTGCAGTGATAATGGACTTCCCTCCTTCAGAGTATCCAAAGGCTTCTCCACCACCCGGAATCCTAGAACAGCAACACTGTGGGGAGCAAGCCGGACTGGACTGAGTTACTGGAATTAAGACTTATTCTATGCATCTGCTCTCCCACAGTATGGCGCTGGGAGAGGAGTAAACAGCTTCTACCCAGCTGCCTCTCACCAACTTGACAAGCTGCAGGAGCTGCTCCTGATTGGAGGAGAGCGGCGTACTCGGCGTGTGGGCAGCCGAGTTAGGATTGGCGGAGGAGGACTATAAAGGAGGAGAGAGACGGCATGCACCAGGAACATCTAAGAGGAACATCTAAGGGGAACACCTGTGCAGCCCCCGAGAGAGCCGGCCGGCGGTGTGCCGCTCCCCTGTGGAAGTGGGGAATGTGGCCAGGGGGAACTGCCCTTCCACGGAGGTGGAAGGGATAGTAGCCAACCCGGGAAGAACCAGCAGCAAACCCGGGGAGGGCCGAGCAGACGAAAGAACAGCGCAGGGTCCTGTGTTGCTCCTCCACGAAGAGGGGGAGCGACACAACACCACTTCTAAGACACAAAAGAACTTCAAGCTTTGCTTCTCAGGTGGTCACACAGTGTCTTCGTTTTCCTTTTCAAGGTCAGAGAGCCCCAAAGCTGTTAGAATTTTAATTGAAATGTCCTCCCTACAATCTTCATGTTAACTTCAAAATGTTTTGTGACTAGAAATCGAAACTCCAGCAGTTGACAGTTGAGGTGTCCTTTAGCTTCAAAATCAAGTAAGATTCACCACTGAATTACTAGAAACAGACATCAGTTTTTATTGTTATATACCACACAAATTATGAAACACCACCACATGTGTAATGTATGTGATCATATATAACTCAAATGCACGTCCTCCCCACCTCCCAGTCCTTCTGGCTAACGTTCAGGATTGTAGTGTTGAAGGGGAGTGTGGTCAGTAAAATGAAAAACTCTGTGTTTACCTTGATGCTCCTTGTGTGCATGCATTGAAACTAAAAGAACACTTCTCCAGTTCTTGACATTGGCACTGTCTAGGGCAAGCACTTGGTGTTAAAACCGGCCTACGTCTGGTGCTGAGAAGATCCTCAAGTCACAAAAGACACACCTACAGATATCACGACCTGCCACATATTTTCATTTTGGATACGAGATTTGTCAATACCGATCTCACAGTGTGAAGATTAAAATGGGATAGAGCACTCAGCAGACTCATAGAATGGCAGATGTCCTAAATAGCACTCTGGCCTCAGAATCAGCCCTAAAGGCATTCGGATCTGGTTGAAAAGCCCATGAGAGTATTTCAGGCATGGAAAGCCAAGACACTCTGGCAAAAGATCTCTGTGAGTGAGATCTCAGTGGAAAGAACAGGTCTTCAAAGAGGGAGGTACCTTTCTCTGAAGGGAGGAGAGAACCTCCACTTTGACTATGACCTTGTCTAAACAAGATAAGAGTCGGAGAACTCAGAGGGCTTCCATAGCCTTGGGAACTCATGACTGGAGCATAGGGAGATTACTGATGCCATAGACAGGAGTGTCAATTTGTAAAGTCAACAACAGGAGTCACTGTGCACTTACTCCTCATGTAGGATCTCTGTCCTTAATGTGCTGTGCATTGAGATTTAATGCTATAACGAGTACTCAAATAATATATTTCACTTTGTGTTTCTATGGGGGTGCAAACTGTTGAAATCTTTACTTAATGCATACTAAACTGATCCTCTGTAAAAAAAAAAATTATCAACTCCCAACTTGATTCTCACTGGGATTAAACATGACAATAGGTCTGATCTGATTTCATCATCATTTAAAAAAATCATCTATTATTCCTCACTTTATGTTTCTGTGAGGGAGCAAACTGTTGAAATCCTTACTTAATATATACTAAGCTGATCTTCTGTATATTAAGATAATCGAAAATGAATCTTGATGTGAATGGAAGGGGAGAGGGAGTGGGAAAGGGGAGGGCTGTGGGTGGGAGGGACGGTATGGGGGGAAGCCATTGTAATCCATAAATCGTACTTTGGAAATTTATATTCATTAAATAAAAGTTTAAAAAAAATGGGATAGAGCGATGTCAGCATTGCATTCATAGTAAGCCCTAAATCAGTGAGCGCTTTAAAGCCACAGCACTTCTCTGCAACATTTTAAGGCACTTGAGTAACTGGAAAGTGTCCCTGACTTTGGTGATGAATAGTGGTGATGAAAGCAACCAAGGAAGCCCTGCCAAAGCAAGTGATAGGGCTGTGGGTGAGCCGCAAAATGTGTTAGTCTTCTCCCTCAGTAGCTAGGGCTGGGAATATGAGAAGGAATGTATAAGGTGAATAGACCACATACTACTCCTCTCCCCAAGTTACTAACCTGTTGGAGGTGAGAATACACATACCTCTGTGAATTTACCAGCAACTGTAGCAGTTAGAGGTTCACGTGCCTTCACAAACTGCTTTGAGAATGCAACTATCTTCTGAGTGTTAACTGAATTTCTTACATCACTAGTTTTTAGTAAATGTATATTTCTCATTTGAAAAGCATAGTATATAAAAATGAGGTTGTATCAAAATGTTTGTGCAGGGGGCCAGTGCTGTGGTATAATGCAGGTGCTATAATGCAGGTGCTAAGCCTGCACCTGCATTGCTGGCATCCCATATGGGCGCAAGTTCTAGTCCCAGCTGCTCTTCTTTCAGTCCAGCTCCCTGCTGATGGCCTGGGAAAGCAGTGAAAGATGACCCAAGTGCTTGGGTCCCTGCACCCACATGGGAGACCTGGAAGAAGCTCCTGGTTTCCCTCCCTCCCTCCCTCTCACCCTCCCTCTTACCCTTCTTCTTTTTACCTTTCTGTCATTTAAACAAATTTTTTGAGTTAGCATATTTTATTTATTTTTAAATTTTTTTAATTTTTTTTTGACAGGCAGAGTAGACAGTGAGAGAGAGAGAGAGACAGAGAGAAAAGTCTTCCTTTTTCCATTGGTTCACCACCCAATGGCCTCTGCAGATGGCACACTGCGGTCAGTGCACCACGCTGATGTGAAGCCAGGAACCAGGTGCTTCCCCTGGTCTCCCACGCGGGTGCAGGGCCCAAGCACTTGGGCCATCCTCCACTGCACTCCCAGGCCACAGCAGAGAGCTGGCCTGGAAGAGAGGCAATCGGGACAGAATCCAGTGCCCCGACCAGGACAAGAACCCGGGGTGCCAGCGCCGCAGGCGGAGGATTAGCCTATTGAGCTGTGGCGCCAGCCCAAGTTAGCATATTTTAAACTTACATTACAGTAAAAAGGCTTAATACTTCAGGGAGTAAGAAGTTTACCAAGTAAAAATCAAAAAGACTCTAATTTAGTGGGAATATAGACAATGGCTATAAATAATAATTGAGTGGAAAAAATGACCATTTCACCCATATACAATTTATTTGTCATTCATAATTTCTTTCAATGAAATAGAACCAATGACAATGTAACATCCAGATATTTCCTCTGTGGTTACAAGGTAATAATTTAGCTCATTTAGACTTTTAGCCATTTCTTCTTAACAGGTTATGCACAGGTATGACTTCATGCAGATTGCAATGCAAATCATCATATATTACATTTTTGGTGTTCTATTAGTTACCACAGAAACTAATAGGGAAAATATATGGTATTTGTCTTTTGTGGCACTCGCTTATTTCACTAAGCATAATTGTTTCCAGTTGCATCCATTTTGTTGTGAAAGACAGGATTTCTCTTTTTTTTGTGGCTGAATAGTATTCTATAGTGTATATATACCAAATTTTACTTATCCAGTCATCAGTTGATGGGCATCTCGGTTGATTCGTATCTTAGCTACTGTGTATTGAACTGCAATAAACATAGGGGTACAAATAACTCTTTCATATGCCAATTTCATTTTTCTTGGATAAATTCCCAAAGGTGGGATGGCTGGGTCATATCATAGATGTATTTTTGGATTTCTGAGGAATCGCCATATAGTCTTCCATAGTGGTTGCCCTAGTTTACACTCCCACCTGCAATGATTTAGGGTACCAACTTCCATACATCTTTGCCAGCATTAACTATTTTTCAATTTTTGGATGATAGCCATTCTAAATGGGTTGTGGTGAAACCTGGTTGTTTTTATTTGTGTTTCCCTGGTAGCTAGTGATCCTGAGCATTTTATACTGTTTCTGCTGACCATTTGTATTTCATCCTTTCAAAAATGCCTACTCGTGTCCTTTACTCTTTTTAGCTAGCTTGTTTATTTTGTTGTTCTTGAGTTTCCTGAACTGTTCATGGATCCTAGAAAATCCATTATCAGTTGCATACTTTGCAAGTATTTTCTCCCATTCTGTTGGTTGCTTTATTTTGTTAAGTGTTTCTTTTGAGTGCAGAAACATCTTTTTTTAAAAAAGATTTTATTTATTTATTTATTTAATTGAAAGTCAGAGTTACACAGAGACAGAAGGAGAGGCTGAGAAAGAGAGAGAGAGACCTTCCATCCGCTGGTTCACTCCCCAGTTGGCCACAATGGCCAGAGCTATGCCGATCCAAAACAAGGAGCCAGGAACCTTCTCTGGGTCTTCCACGTGGGTGCAGGAGCCAAAGGATGTGGTACATCTTCTACGGCTTTTCCAGGCCACAGCAGAGAGCTCTGCCCCTCTTTGTCTCCCTTAACAGTTTTGTGTTAAAGTTTATTTTGTCAGATATTAAGATGGCTACGCCCACTCTTTTTTCATTTCTGTTGGCATGGTATATCTTTTTCCAGCCTTTCACTTTCAGTCTGCATGCATCTTTGTTGGAAAGATGTGTTTCTTGTAAGCAGCAAATAGATGGGTTTTGTTCCTTAACCCAGTCAGCCAATCTGTGTCTTTTAACTGGAGAGTTGAGGCCATTAACATTCAATGTGACTATTGATAAGTGGTAACTTTGCCCTGCCATTTTCCCAGAGATGTTTTCTAATATATGCTTTGAACTTCCTGTGATCTTTTGCTGTGAGGTTTCCTTCCTTTACCTTCTTTCATATTGATGACCATGTTTCTGTGTTTCTGTGTGTAACACCTCTTTAAGCATCTTTTGCAGGGCTAGACGAGTGGCGACAAATTCTTTCAATTTCTGTTTGCTATGAAAGGTCTTTATTCACAAATGAGAGCTTTGCAGGATATAATATTCTGGGCTGGCAGTTTTTCTCTCTTAGTACCTGGGCTATGTCTCGCCATTCCCTTCTAGCGTGTAGGGTTTCTGATGAGAAGTCAGCTGTGAGTCTAATTGGAGATCCTCTGAGAGTAATCTGACGTTTGTCTCTTGCACATTTTAGGATCTTTTCTTTATGTTTCACTGTGGTGAGTTTGATTACAATGTGTCGTCATGAGGATCTCTTTTGGTCATGTTTACTAGGGGTTCTATGAGCTTCCTGTACTAGGATGTCTCTGTCCTTCTCCAAACCTGGGAAGTTCTCTGCTAGTATCTCACTAAAAAGGCCTTCTAATCCTTTCTCTCTCTCCATGCCTTCAGGAACTCCCAGAACCCGAATGTTGGGTTTTTTAATAGTATCCTGTAGATTCCTAGCCATATTTTTTAGATTTCTAATTTCCTCTTCTTTTCTTTGGTTTGACTATATACTTTCCTGTTCTCTGTCTTCTAAGTCCGATATTCTCTCTTCTGCTTCACTGACTCTGTTTTTAAGGCTCTCTAATGTGTTTGTCATTTGATCTATTGAGTTCTTCATTTCATTTCGGTTTCTCTGCACTATCACATTTTCCTGTTCTACTAGTTTCTGTGTTTCATTTTGATTCCTCCTTAAGACTTCATTTTCACGAGAGAGATTTTCTATCCTGTCCAGTAAGGATTTCTGTAGTTCAAGAATTTGTTTTTGAGAACTTCTCAATGTTCTTATCATAAATTTTTTGAGATATGTATCTTGTATTTCTTCTATCTCATCATCTTCATAATCTTGACTTGGGGTGTCTTATTCATTTGGGGGTGTCATAATGTCTTCCTTGTTCTTGTTTCCTCAGTTTATGTGTTTGTTGCTTGGCGTTGTTGAGATATTCTTTGGATTCTTCTTCCCTCGCTGTGGTGTTTTTTTCTTGTTATACTATTATTGTATTAAGTGGACTGTCTGCTTTTGATGGAGCCTTAGAGGCTTCAGATGGGTGTGGCCAGAGAGCTCTGTTTGGTTCTTCAGGGTTAGGGGTGTGCCAAAGGTGACACACCCAGGTTAGGCATGGTAAATTTCTCTCTCTCCTCTCCCTCTCTCTCTCTGATCCAGAAGGGAAGTAATTCTGCACAGCTGAGCGGAATTGAAGGTAGTCAGCTTCTGATCTCTGGCTCCTGTGGGTATAACATTTGTCTGCTCTTTCCCAAGGACCACACAAAGAATCTGTTCTGCCCTCAGTGTGGGCTCAAATTCCCCTACAGTCTCTCACTGGGTTGCCAATTTTACCAAATTGTAGCGTCTCTGGAGAGTACTCACGTGAACTCTGTGATTTCTCTCACCCACTGTCTCTTTTTTCACTGCCTCAGTTCATTAGCTCCACACATTCACTAGGTCCTAACCTCCTGTTATTTCACACACACACACACACACACACACACACCCCAGAGTCCAGTTTTTCCACTTGGCTTTGGCAGGTGCAGCCTGGAGGTCGCACAGCTTTTACGTATGTCCAAAATGGTACCTGCTCTTTGTCTTGCTCGCCTTTGAGAGGTGAGTGGAGAGAGAGAGACTCGTGCCTGTACCAGTCCTTTCCCTCTCTGTCTCTCTCTCTCTCTTCTCGAGTTAGCCTGGTGAACTTTTCCCCATGGTGCTTCAGGCCTCATTCCCTCTAGGCTTCTCCTTCTGCTTTCCTGCCAGTGTCTCAGGCTACTGAGGTTTTGGCTCACCTCGCGTTCCAGCGCTGCTGTGTAGATTCCACGACTGGTGTCCTGAGCTGTGGGCTCCCACGCTTTCTACGCAGGTCCACCGTGAATCACTGGTTCTGGAAGAGTTTCCTCTGCTGTTTCTTCCACAACTCTTCCTTGAACCTGCAGTATCTCAACTTTTATTAAACTGTCTCCTCCCGAACTATCAGTGTGCTCCCTTCCTATTCCACCATCTTGCCGGACACCCAAGCTCTGGACATTCTTACTCCATAATGTGGTAACTCAAAATCGTCTCCGCCCACGTTTGCTGTTCATGATTAGCATTTTCTCATTTTTTACTATTGTACATTATGTCTGTGCCTGGGGTAAACCTAAGGGTAAGCTTTAGATTCTCTTACATCTTTTCTGAGCCTGAATCTTTGGGTATTTGTAGTCACTTTCTCAGTTTTTCCATACATAACTTGCAGTTGCTTTTAAAGAAAGATTTACTTATTTATTTGAAAGGCAGAGAGAGAGAGCAAGGAGGAAAGAGAGAGAAAAAGAAAGAGAAAGAGAGAGAGAGAGAGAGAGAGAGAGAGAGCTAGAGAGAGAGCACTTCCATCTACTGGTCTACTTCCCAAATTGCTACAACCATCAAGTGTGGAACGAGCCATAGCCAGGAGCCAAGAATTCCATCCTGGTCTCCCACTTGGGTGGCAGGGGTTCAAGAACTTAGGCCGTCTTCTGCTGCCTTCCCAGATACATAAGCAGGAAGCTGGACTGGAAGCAGAGTAGCTTGGACTCAAATCTGTCTCTGGAAAGTCCCCAAACATGTACATTCTGATGGCACTGCATCTTGTCCCTTTAGTCACCTGACCTCATGCCTCTGTGAACTGCTCTCATGGCAATCTCAGAACACAGAATGAGGACATGTTCTCAAGGGAGAGGCCCAGCTGCAGCCTCCCCTGTTGGCACCTGAGTGTCTGAGTCCTCCATGGGTTATTGAAGGTATGAACTTTCCTTTGTGGTAAGCATCTTTGGGAAGAGTGGCCAGCTCCCCACTGAGAGCCAGTGAGCTGTTTCAGGGTGATACTCATGTATTTGGGAGTTGTAGATTTATTTGTGGCTATGTTATTCTACAATATGTGTGTATGTAGCTTTATATGTATACCTTTCTAGAAATTACAATAGTAATGAATTCTTTCCTCCTAGGAGTTGGAGCATTCTGTACCCAAGAATACACCTACACAGGTAAAGGATCCATTTCCTATCTGTAGACTCTTTCAAGTATTTTTTTTTTGACAGGCAGAGTGGACAGTGAGAGAGAGAGAGAGAGAGAGAGACAGAGAAAGGTCTTCCTTTGCCATTAGTTCACCCTCCAATGGCTGCCGTGGCCAGTGAACTGTGCTGATCCGATGACAGGAGCCAGGTACTTATCCTGGTCTCCCATGGGGTGCAGGGCCCAAGCACTTGGGCCATCCTCCACTGCACTCCCTGGCCACAGCAGAGAGCTGGCCTGGAAGAGGGGTAACTGGGACAGAATCCGGCGCCCCGACTGGAACTAGAACCTGGTGTGCCGGTGCTGCAAGGCGGAGGATTAGCCTAGTGAGCCACGGCGCCGGCCTTCAAGTGTTTTTGTAAAAGGAAAGATGTGGGTCCAGAGTGTCTCCCACAAGTGAGAGAGGCCTAGGGTATGTGGATCCTAAATGTTTCCAAGTCAGTGAGCTGGCCCTTTGCTTGCCAGGTTCACTTTCCAGCTCAAGGGAGTGTGGGCCAGACTCGGTGGTCTAATAATGCTTGGTAATACCAGTCTGGAGCTGTTCCTGGGCCCTACGAAGTCCCCTAATTCCCATCTTGCTGCCTTTCCTTCATGGCTATCCTCAGTCTGGCACCATAGCACCTTAAGTCTGTGAGTGCTGCCTCCAGGGTAGTTTTAGGAAATAGAGTGAGACGTTCTCAGGGGAAAGGCCCAGGTACGGCTGTCACTCATGGATCTCAGGTCCCCTTGGGTATTCAGAAGATGTGCTTTGTTTCTCTGGAAAGAGTGGCCAGCTCCACACTGAGAGTGAAGTCCCTGCTGTCGGGGTGGTTCAGTGACATGGCCGTGCAGATTGGTGTCAGACAAGGGACCCTGGACTTGGCAGCAGAAGGACTCCATGGGTATTTTTGCCTCCCAGCTATCCAGAGAGGGGGAGGAGATCTCACTGTCATGAGGACAAAAAAGATTATCTGTATGTCAAATTGTGTGTTTCCCTGCCTGATGTGTGTTGTTTGTTTCCTTATGTATACTTTCAGTTTATAGATGCATATATTTAGGAATCATAGATTTTTCTAGCTATATTACTTTTTCTGACATAGAGTGATGATAGTGATGAATCCATATTCCTAGGATGTTGAAGGTTCTCAGCTACAAGGATGTAGCCAGATGGGTCCTGGAAAATTTTTCTGTAATTTTAAACAAGTGTGAGTAGTTACACAAACACACAGAGAAACACACACACATACATCTTTAGAGGTTCATTCCGTGTTTATGAACATTTACATAGTTGTGTAGCCAAAGATTTGTTGGAAGTTGGTTGTTTCCCTTTGGACATCATACAGGGCTCATTCTCTCACCAACAAACCAAGAGATGTCTGGAAACTTGCTGCGTTGAGGTGGGACAGGACGTGGGCTTTCCAAGGCCTTAGGTCCTACTTTGTCCTGGGTTGTACATGAGCAATCCCCATTCCCACTTACCTCTAGCAGTTGGCTAAACCTCTTTGCCCACGAGAGTTGGGCCCTAAGTTAGAAACACTCCTTATATATCTTAATGGGTTAGCAGGACTGAAAGTTGCCCTCTGACCTGGTGAGCTGGATCTCTTTTATGTCATGTTGTTCAGAAGGCTGGTAAACCTGCTGTGGGCCCAGAATGCCCCTCCAAGACAAGCGGCTTACAGCATGTAGGTTCCGTGTGTTTCCCAGAAAGCTAGTGTGGTGGCCCTCCAGCTAGCCTGGTCCATATCTCTAGGACAAGTTCATTTTGGCTGAGTCTGGCTCCCAGAGTGTGTAATCTTCAGGGATGGTGGCCAGAGCTGACTCTGGGGAGTGTGCAGATCCACATTCTGGTGGCACCATGGCATAGCTGACCCTGCAGCCAGGTGTCATCTTCCTGGTACCTGCCTATCCTGCCTAAAAGGAAACCTCAAAACCCAGAGGAAGGGCCAGCATTATGGCACAGTGGGTTCAGCCACCACCTACGATGCCAGCATCCCATATGGGATTCAAGCTGTGTCTTATCTGCTCTGCTTGCTATCCAACCCTCTGCTAATGCAGCTGGGAAAGAAATAGAAGGTGGTCCAATTCCTTGGGTCCCTGCACCCATGTGGGAGACCCAGATGAAGTTCTAGACTCCTGGCTTTGGTCTGGCCTAGCCCTGGCTTTTGTGGCCATCTGGGGAGTGAACCAGTGGATGGAACATCTCTCTGTTTCTCCCTCCCTCTCTGTAACTGTGCCTTTGAAACACAAAATAATCATTTTTTTTTGGTGTTTAAACCCAAACATTATTGCTTTTGTGCATATCAGCATTGAAGGGGTGACGGAAAACACTTCTTTTCAAAAGGTCATAAACCCAGTGTGCATATATAATTTAACTATAATTAGAGCACAAATAAAAGGAACACAAGGGATTTATAACTCTGCTCCTCTTGCTCTTCAAAGTGAGCTTTGCTTTGAATTGCCATCGTGTTTCTGTGTGAATTAGACAGATGCACAATTTTATATTCCTTCCAAATAAAACAATCCAACCATATAAATAATCCTTCTTTATCAGCCTTTTACGAAAGTAGGTTGAGGGCCCCAATGGCTTGGGCAAATCCCTGTAGCTCTTGTGTTTTTTTTTTAAGATTCATTCATTTATTTGAGTCGGAATTACACAGAAAGAGAAGGAGAGGCAGAGAGATAGAGAGAGGTCTTCCATCCGATGGTTCACTCCCCAGATGCCGCAATGGCCAGGGCTCCAAAGTCCGAAGCCAGGAGCCAGGAGCTTCTATTGGGTCTCCCACACGGGTGCTGGGGCCCAAGCACTTGAGGCATCTTCTACTTTCCCAGGCCATAGCAGAGAGCTGGATCGGAAGTGGGGCAGCTGGGACTTGAACCAGTGCCCATATGGGATGCCAGCACTGCAGATGGTGGCTTTACCTGCTGTGCCACAGCGCCGGCCCCATCTCTTTGTTCTGTGCTAGCCTCTGTAATGTCAGGATAAGTTGGGTGCCCACAGGGATGCAAAGGTGAGTGCAGTGGGATGTTCTCCTGGAGTGAAAAGGAGCCTCAAAATGTGACTCTCTCACCCCCTTCCTAATCATCCTGAGCTGGAGGAGGTCAGGGATGGCCCTGTGTCTCCCCATGGCAGAGAGTCTCCCTGTTGACTTTGGGGATGGGCAGGCAGGGATGTGGGCTCTGGAGGGAGATGTTCAGCAGCTCTGGTGGCTCTCCCCAGAAACACATGACCAGCAGCTCCCTCTGATGACGTTCGTGTGCCAGTCCTCCCCTTCTGATGAAAGCAGCCACTGGGGGCTCAGCCTGGGAGCCCTAGGGGCTGCCATGGAATGGGGATGTATCCCTGGGACCACCTCAGGGCACATCCTTTACTTGCCTGTGTAGATCCTGAACATCCATTAGTGTCTACTTGATGGATCAAGGCTGATGGCAGCCTCTCCACTTCTGGGCTCCATTTTGTTGGCTTCCCTGAGGTATCACAAAGAATGTGAAGCAGTGAAGTCCGTGTGCACTTATTTCTCTGCCCCCCATCTTCCTGCTCCAAACTCACATTTCCTGTTCTTCTTGGTCAAGGTCCTCCATGTCCAGAAGACTTTGGGGATAGTTCACATCCAGGGAACATGTGGACACCTGGAAAGAAGAAACAGTGTGAGTTTCCTGAACCAGGCATTAAGGAAAAGCCCTTTCTTAGGGGACATGGAGGCCAGAGTCAGACTTCCCTGGAGTCCTCCCTCCACTGACACTGGGACCCTGCCTGCCTGTCCCCAGCCCAGCTCCCTGTGTGGGCAGTCGGGTTCCTCAGCAGTGTTTCATAGTGCAGTGTGGGGGTGAGGAATAAGGGCAAGGCTGATGAAGGGAGAGGGGAGGGCTGCAGAGAGACTGGATCAGCATCCACAGTGCAAGGACATCCACTGCCTGGATGCCACCAGGTCCTGCAGGATGCGAATCATCCACTGTGGTGAGGTGGGAATGTGGGAGAAGCAGGACCAGGGGCTTGTGAGCAAGAAAGCAAGAGAATCAGAAAAAAATGAAAGAGGAATCACTCACCCCCCGATTGCCACACCCAGTGGAAAGTTCAGGTGCTGCCCCATAGCCTTCCATGTGCAGCAGAGCAGGGGTGTTGAGGTTGCCAGAGAGAAGGAAAGGGGAGAGTTAGACTTGAGGTGAGGACTCGGATCCCTGCTGCTGGTTGGATGATGTGGGCCAGCCTTGGGAGCCCATGTCTATATCCCTATCCCAGGCCTGGATGTCTTCACCTCTGCAATGAGCAAGTGGATCTCTGAACGTTCACCTCTTCTTCCTGCCCTCAGCTCCCATGACTGTGGCCAGGAAAGGACCCCCGTGTCATCTTGTTACTCCATAGGGAGCCATGTCCATGACATGATCTCTGTAACACACTGTTTTCCACCCTTCATCTTTCCCTTCCTCTATTCTCTCTCCTAATTATTGCCAGTCTCCTTTGCATTCGTCAGCCTGCACGAATCAAATTGCCATCAGCTATGAGAGCTTTGTAGGTAAAATGGCACTGTGGTCATGCCAGCGTCCCCCCAGAGCACTGGTTAGTGTTCTGAATGCCCCACTTCTGATCCAGCTCCCTCTTAACGGGCCTGGGAATGCACCAGAAGATGGCCCAAGTGCTTGTCCCCTTGCCACCTATGTGGGAGAAGTGGATGGAGTTTCAGGCTCCTGACTGGCCTGGCACAGCTCAGGTATTGGGGCCATTTGTGAAGTAAACCTAAGGATGGGAGAGCCCTTCCTCTTGTTTCTCCTTCTCTTTCTAATACTGTGGGGCTTTTTAAATATTTATTTATTTATTTGAAATGAGGAGTTACAGAGAGAGAGAGGGAGAGACACAGAGATCGTCCATGTGCTGGTTCACCCCTCAGATAGCCGCAATGGCTGGGACTGTGCCAGATGTCAGGGGTCAGAAGCTTCTTCTGAGCTCCCATTTGGGTGTAGGGCCCAGGGACTTGGATCATCTTCTGCTGTTTCCGAGGTGCATTAGCAGGGGGCTGGATTGGCAGTGGAGCAGCCAGCACTCAACCCAGCTGCCATATGGGATGCTGGTACTGCAAGCTGCCACTTAACCTGCTTCACCATTCGCCAACCCTGTCACTGTGCCTTTTTAAGAAATAAATAAATGAATGAATACTGCTACCCACAACAGTAAGTCTATAGATCCCTTCCTAAGAGGGGAGCAAGTGTAACAGGCCTGGCTCCTGCTGGCTCCTGGGAAAGCTGATGAGGAACAACTGCAGGTGTTGAATCGCTGTTCTGTGTCTGAGGAAACCTCAGGGAGTGTGAAAATATTTATTTCTCACAATAACCCCTGTGTTCCCTGACCCATATGAAAAGATGACCCCAAGAGGAGAAGAAATTTAACTTGTTCAAATTCTGGTAGTCTGCCAAGGAGGCAATAAATGAGACTTGCCAGTGATTTCACTGCAGGCCTGAGGGCACGGAACGTGCCTGGCCTGAGTGGAGGGGGGAACAGGGCAGCACTGACTAGAGCAGCGTGTCTGAGGGGACCAGTGACCCCCGGCCCTGCTGCTCAGAGGCCCTCCACAGAGCCCAGCACATTCCAGAAGATGAGGTCAGCAGGACCATGAGGGCCAGTGTGTGCGTCCAGCCCAGAACCCCCTCTGGGAAGCCTGCACAACCATGCTGCATCTCCAGTGGCAACTGGATGACAGCCCATCATGCAGCCTACTCCAGACACTTGACTTGGGCGAGATGTGGAAGCTGAGATGAACTCAGGGTTATGCCCTCTCCTCACAACTGGAAGTCAGTCAGCCCAAAGGAAGTATTTAACTCACCCAGCCTGGGCAGGCCTTGTAAACTGGAGTAGACAATGAGGACAGAGCATGAAGGTGCTGATCCACGGACTGGCCATGCAGAGGGAAGGGTCCACTAGTCACTGTCGGCTGGCACTTGCTACAAGGACTCTGTAGGTTCCAGCCGGTGCCTGTGAGAGAGGGCGCCCACTGCATCCCCTGTCCTTGATGCAGCAAGGAGCCCTTCCTCAGAAGCAATGCAGCACCTTGGTCTTGGACCTGCCAGCCTCCAACAGGAAGAAAGAATTTCTGTTCCTTGTGAATGACTGAGTGTCAAGGGTTTTGTTGCTGCACACAAATGGACTGACAATGGTCAGTGCCAAAGTCAAATACACATCTCCTGTGCTCAGTTCCTAGTCAGTGCTGTCCCATCATGACGCAAGTGGATTTCAGCTTTGCCTTGGCAAAGCCAAGGATGGTGGGTATTAGAGAAAATTACATTTTTTAATTTCAAAGGAAGAAAACTCAGTTCTCCTCATGCCCATGGAAATAAAACCTGTTGCTACTGTGCCAATCCCATAGAAGAACAAAGCAGACTTCTACGTACACTTCCTCTCTTTCCTCCTGACTTCATGTGTCCTCTCAGGAGTCCTAAGAGGCAGGTGTACTCCCATTGTTCCCTCTTAATGACCCCCGGTCCTTATGGGTGTTGCTCCGTACCTGAAGAGACTTCAGCTTCACTGTAGGACTTGGAAATGCTCTGTGAGGCCCAATCTTCAGAGACACAAAGACAGACAATAAGTGTTCACAGAGGTGTCTCACCCATTCCTCCCCTCACCCCTGTGCACATCCTGGATCACACAGCATGACCCTGCTCCCCCTCTGTGCTCTCAGCCCCTTCCTGGGCTCTGTGGCCCTGCCCCTCAGCCAGACATTGACCACAGCTTCAAGTGTTCCAGTGAGGGAGAGGAGCTGACGGCTCCTCCTCTCAATGTCTCACTTTCCCCACGCCTGAATGACAGTGGCTCCAGCCTCCATCTGAAAACCCCCCAGATCCCACTGTGCTGTGCATGCTCTGAGCTTTATGACTGCATCCCCAGTTCCCTTCCACAGCAAGGAGCTGGCATCAGGTGACCATGCATGATAAAGTCCCCAGGGTAGTCCCCCCTATGTCACCATCTGGACTATTCCTGCTACAGGGAGTGATTCCAGAGTACGTACCATTTGTCATTCCTACTGTGGTCACCTGTAATTAGAAGACAACACTGTAAGGAACAGATCGAGTTGTGTGCCGTGACCGCGGGTCTTTCATTCACTTGGTGCCATTGAAACCAGATGGGGAAGAGCAGTCCCATGGAGGGAACCCCAGGACAAGAACAGAGAGATCCTAGTTCATGCCAGCAGACACGAGCTCTTCACACATGTCTGTTCGGTGCACTTTGGTTGGCAGTATTACAGAATTCGCAAAGGAAGGGATATGGTGCTGAGGAAAATCTTGCTATGTCCAGTGCCAACTGGTGCTGCCATTTTGCTCGTTGTGTCCTGAGTCAGCCCTCAGTAGATACAGACTCTACTGCAGTTGCTCCCATAAAGCACAGGGTGTGTGATTGACCCTACCTGTGTTTGGATTTTTCTTTCTGTTTTATTAAGAAAGCAGCCAAGGAAGGAGCGTTTCTGTTTTAGAGAAAGGTGGGGCACCTCACCTCAGTGTGTGGAGATTCTTTATCCGCTGTGTCAGCAGGAAGCTCCGCCTCTGCATCCTCCTTGGGCACTAGGAGGAAATAGGGTAACTGTCAGTACAGGTAGAGCTGCCCCTCAGTGACCCGAGGAACACTGATGGACATGGGCGTGGGGCGAGGGTTAAGGCAGAGCAGACGAGCAGGAAAGAAATGAGAAGCAGAGCCTTTGGCTTTCTAGCAAGAGGCAGCTTCATCCAGGTGAAGCAGTCCACTGAAATCGGGTCAGTACCACCGTGATTGCAGTATTTCAGGAAAAATCCTAGGACGCTTCCTGTCTGTTGAGAACCGGACCTAAACTCCCACTGCTGTCTTGGTGTCTCTAAAGGTCATTTCTTCTCCTGGCACTTACTGTATTTGAATATATCACCTCTCCTATCAGCTTCTGAACACGCTAAAAAGCAACCTTTATTGGGAGTAGGGACTCCATTGTATGAAAACATCCCATTATATTCAGGTATTCCACAGTCCCGCATTATCAAAGCAATTAAATAAGATTTAAAACACTGAAATCCAAATGTATTCCTAATGTATTTAATGGGTCTTGTGACCTCTTTGTCTTTCTTTTCTATATGATATGTTTATGTCCATTGAACGGGCGGCCCAGGCCTGCTATCTAAAGCAACAGTGGGATAGTTGATGAAAGAAGTCAGCATGTGGTGGGCAGTGGTGTCTCTCAAAGACTGCACAGGAGATTTGAGACAAGGGTGATGGACACAAGGCTCACAACATCATTGTAGTTTCAGTCCTTATTTTGCGCTGTACGCTCAGGGAGAATTCTACTGCTGGGTTTGAGCATTTAATTCCACAGCTTGTGTTGATCATCTGTTAAATTCAATAACATTTCTCCCTTATCTTTCTCTGCTTTGGCCAGCTGCTGAGAAAGGGCCTTGGCCTTGCCATTGGTTTACCTTCACTGCGAGAATCTGTGAGTTGACCAGAATTTTTGTTTATGTTTCACATTCATGATGATGTAGAAGCCTGCAGTTCAGTGTACCCATTGCTTCTTGGGTTATTTGACCTTGGAGCTCAGCTTGTAATCATGTATAACATCTTGGATCTCTATAGTTATGATAACTCTTGGGGCATATGTAAGTCCTGGACTCCCTTTCATGGTGTTGATAGTTATCTCATGGCTGAGTGCTGACTACAGCTCAGTAGCCAGGAGGTCAGGGTTCATACTTGCTTCTCTCATTGGGACGTGAATGTCTTGGGCCACTTCTTTATGTATTATGTCATGTAAGGAGTGGAATGGAACCTACCCTTCAGACACATGTCGGGAGACGGCTGAACGATTCACTTACATAAAGTGCAGAGGGAGATCAGATATTTTTGAGAACCAAGACTTGAGTTGTGCAAGTGGAAAAACATGTTCTGGGGAAATGCACACACACACACACACACACACACACAAATGCTTTCAAACACATTCATGACCACTCATATAGATCTCACAACACTGATGCACACAAACCTAACACCATCTACATGGCAAAGCTATTTCCAGGGCCTGCCATACGTAGCCATAGATGTCCCTGGCCCATCAGTTTCTTTCTCCACACCCCCAGTCCTTTTTCCACCAAGAAACTGGAATCAGGTTGGATCACCAGAAGAAAGCAGGCAGGAAGTTCCCTCTCCCATCCCTTCGATCGTTCCTCAGCAGTGGAGGGATTCTAGAATATGTAGGGTTTTCACTTGCTCTTGAGGTCATCTGCAATCAGAGAAAGGAAGTCACTGTGGGACAGCCGTGTTTGCACAAGTCTTTCCTCTTGCTGACCTTGGGAAGCCTGAAGGGACATAGTGTGTGAGGCAACTGCCCTCAAATAAAGCACAGATGGCACTTGTGTGCCTGCAAGATACAAGCTTTCCACATGTCCATTTAGGTTGGCAATTCTTTTTTTTTTTTTTTTTTTTGACAGGCAGAGTGGACAGTGAGAGAGAGAGACAGAGAAAGGTCTTCCTTTGCCGTTGGTTCACCCTCCAATGGCCGCTGCGGCCGGTGTGCCGTGCTGATCCAATGGCAGGAACCAGGTCTTATCCTGGTCTCTCATGGGGTGCAGGGCCCAAGCACTTGGGCCATCCTCCACTGCACTCCCTGGCCACAGCAGAGAGCTGGCCTGGAAGAGGGGCAACCAGGACAGAATCCGGCGCTCCGAAAGGGACTAGAACCCAGTGTGCCGGTGCCGCAGATGCAGGATTAGCCTATTGAGCCGTGGCACCGGCCTAGGTTGGCAATTCTAACATTGATTTGTAAGAACAAAAAGCTGGGGGCTGGCATTGTAGGGCAGTGGGTTAAGCCACCCCATTTGATGCTAGCATCTTGTATCAGCATACCCGGCTGATTTTCCTATTAATGTGCCTGGGAAGGCACTGGAAGATGGCCCACGTACTTAAGTCCCTGCTACCCACATGGGAGACCCAGGTGAATTTCCTGGCTTCTGGCTTCATCCTGGCCTGGCCCTGCCTATAATGGCCATGTGCGAAGTGAACCAAAGGATTTAAGATCTCTCTCTCTCTGTCTTTCCCTCTTGCTTTCTGTTACTTTGCCTTTCAAGTAAACACTTGACGGGCTTCATCATCTGCCCAAAGTAGATGCTTCACTCGCAGGACCTTTGAGTCATTGGAGACTGAATCCATTCAGCTGAGTTCATATTTGAGAAGGTGTAGTTACACCTGCGGGTGTTCTTTGAAGATGAAAAGGCAGGACCAAGATGGGAGACAGCCAGGAGATGGTGGGGGAAGAAATTCAAGCACTGCTGTAGCTATCCAGAAAGCCCTGGGTTCCAGGAAACCAGAGGAAGCTGGGAACGGGCAAGGAAAGGTTGTCCCTGGTGGATTTCTGAGGGAGTCTGCCTTGCCTACACCTGGGTTTCTGACACCCAACCCTCAGACGTGAGACAGCATTTCCTGATTTTCAAACCAACCAACCAACCTGGTCCTTAGTTATGGCCACCCTAAAAACCAGTACAGACACCTTCAATCAATGAGACTTGATTTGCATTTAGAGCAATTTCCACAGTAAGAGAACTACATTCTGTGGTTCACATGAAGAAGTTTCCGAGGTAGACCAAAGTGTGAGCCCTATCACACACTGTACTTATTTAAATATTGCATGTCATACAGAATATGCTACTAAGTCATTAAGGGATTGCACTAGAATTCAGTAAAGGAAGATTGCTTGGAAAATTCCCCAGCAAGTATGGAAGCCAAATAACATACTGTCCAAAACAAATGGATCCCTAGTAGACTCTGTGGTAAATTTAAATTATTGTGAACAAAACAAAATGCAGAAATCAATGTAATAGAAAATAGGAACTCAACAGCAAAAACCAAAAAGTCAAAAATCGTTTCTTTGAAAAGCTCAGTAAGATTGTGAAACCTCTCCCAATCCAAGCTCAAAAAAGAGGTAACAGTGTACTGCTACATCCTTACCATGGATGGTGTGGACAGTAAATGGAAAATAAAGGAGTGCTTTGCATACTGTGTGCTCACAAAGCAGACAGATACCATGAAACAGACTGATTCCTTTAGAGTCAGAAACCACTTCCGCTAGCCAAGCTGAGATCTAACCAAGCTGAAGAGGCCTTTGTAACTAGGAAAGACATGAACGCATAAGTTTGCAACAAAAGGTATCAGGCCTAGATGGATCCATTGGCCAATTCCAGCCAATTCTTACCAAGAAAAACATTGTCCCCAAACAAGCAAGGGGGAAGCTGTATATACCTGGGAAAGTTGCACAGACCCTCACACCTCATCCCCACCCCCACCCCTGTGCCTAAGCTCCCTGTGTGAGATGTGGAAATATTGATATGTTCTGTTCGTGGTTTTGAGCTCCAGGGATTAAAAACAAGTGAAAACTTTCCAAGTTGTCGCTTCACTATTGAATTTGTTCAGTCTTCAAATGCCTGGAAGAATAAGTGAGTCATGTGGGGGTGACTGAATACAGGGAGGATTCTAGGATGACTACCGAAGAGGGGAGAGTGAAAGTCACTCTTCCTCCTTCCATGGGTAGAAAGCTTTCTACCTCCTGGAGAATCTCTGTGATTGCCCAAGGATTAGCTCTGAGTTATGGCAGATTAGCAGTTGTTCCGTGTGATTTGTAGTTGAGCAAGTTGAAGTTTACAGATTGACCGTTGCTTGTCCAGAGCCCCAAAACTGACAAGTGATGGATCAGGGGCAGGATCACTGTTGTGTCCCTAGTGGACAGAGAACCCTGAACACCCGAGATGTCTTCTTCCTGCCCCCAAGAACCCTGGACTAGGAGCTCCTCTACTCTCTCAAAGCCTCCAGGACCAGGGTTTCCTAGGGAACACCCATGTTCTGGAAGAAGTGTCAGAGACAAGAGAAATTGTGAGCCAGATGTCTCCTCTGGGTTTCTAATCCTGACCTAAAGTGGGACACTTCCCTCCAGGACTTCTCTCTGAGGGTCTGGAGAAGCCCATATTGAGCCCTTCGTGGTCTGGCATCTTCACACTGTCCCCTGTCTCCCAGCCTTCCCCATAATCAGATGACCACCCCATGGCCCAGTGGTCAGGGCATCCCCCAGCAAGTGCCATGTTAGGGTGAGCCATGAATTCTCTTCCTTGCCATGGCCTTGCCCACATGCACACTTAACAGAAATTCACCTGAAATGGTGCCATGTGGGCGGGGCCTCAGGGACCTTCCTTTCTGTGATTCCCTGTGGTTTGCCTGTGGTTTGTCCTCTCCAACAGGTTGACATTGACACCCATCACTGTGGTGGTGTAGGATGGGGCTTTCAGCAGTGATTAGAGTTGAAGGGGATTCCTGTGGTTGTCTCAGGACTGAACTGGTCAGGACCTGGGTGGGTCATCAGGAAGCAAGCTCAGCCCCTCCCACTGTCTCTCTTCTGCATGGTCCTGCTCTTCCACTTGTGCACCATGGTAGGATACAACCTGGAACGCTTACCAGATATGAGCACCTGATCTCCAGACTCCCACCATTGACAACCCTGAGCTCAAGGATCTTCTTTCCTTTATAATTTACCCTGTGTCTGGTGTGGTTTAATTTCTCAGAACACTAGGAATTCCTGCTCAGAAAGTAGCTGAGCAGCCTCAAATTTCTGTCTGAGAAAGGGCAGTGTCTGTGTCAGCTCTGGTGTGCCCATGACCTTCCTCACCAAAACTCAGTCCTTAGGAAGCCCTCACCTCTCTCTAGAGCCTGCAGGGACAGAAGACACATTCCCTCTCCTGTCAGAGAGGTCAACCCATTGTCAAACCTTCTGCATTCAACCCCATTTCTCCCTGCAGACCACCAAGTACGTCCCCTCTCTTCTGTCTTCAGATGTCCATCTCGTTGACCCAGCCACACTGTCCCTCCTCCCCACTTCCCTGATAGTCCCCAAACAGCAGGGTTCATGTGTTCACCCACCCCGTGGAAATCCCAGCCTGACATCCCAGTTTCTTTTCTCATGTGAAAAAATATCTCTGGATTACCACTGTTCTTATAGTCTTGGTCTCAGATGGTGACCTCTGAAGAGATGGGCATGAAAGTTCCCTCTTGAGTGATGTCTGTTTTGTGTTTGGTCTCAATTTCTCCTGACCTGACGAAAGTAGTGTGGTTTCTTCCCTCTCATCTATTCTCTCAAATAGCTGTGAGCAAACTTGACATTAGGAATAATGTGTATTTTAAAATATAGGAAATATTTACAACAGCAAATAAATAGAAGCCCTGAAAGTAGAAAGTGAGTAATACTAACCTCCAGATTTATAGATCTGTAGACAGGTTGGAGTAGGGGAAGTGAAAGTCCCTGAGGAAAGTGTGTCATGCAGCACGTGCTGGCCCCCTGGAAGAAACAGCCCCGTGGAGGTCTCTGTGACTTACCTGCTGAGCAGCAGTTGTGATTCCCCATCTCGGACCACTCTGGCCGTGAAGATGTGGACGGCACTACTGCGTTCAACTGTGAGCCTCTCAGCTCACAGAGTGACAGTTGGAACGGAAGGCTGATGTCACTCAGCACATTACCGTGG